AAAAAAAGTAAATAAATGAATTGTTTTTATTAAAGATTTTGATAAAATAACTGAAAAATGGCAATACAAATAGTCACTAAAATCAATCAATGTAATAACACAATGAATACTAATTTAACTATTTGTAGTCGAAATTAAATGTTTCATAACAATTTTGGAATTGCAACGTCCGTAAATGTGACATTTTCACGACACTGAAGAGTGTTTTTATGCGATTTTATACTTATTGACGGTCCACAACATATTATTGACCGCTGGTGGACAGTTGCCGGGAAACAGTAAAATTTTGTGACTTTCACGTGGTACACTCTCGACCAATAAGATACTAGGAAAAGTGAACTTTGACACTTGATATATAATAAATTCTTTTGTTTCATTGATAGCTCGAGAAAACGCATGGAATTTTGTGAAGTAAGACAATCAATTTGATTTGAAATCTCACACATTTATGCTCACAAGAAATATTTTGCGCACAAATGAGGCTAACACAGAGCATTGGAGAATTCGAAACTGGAGTATTGCCCCACAAAAGTTATCCTTCGTTTAGCAGCCATATATGGTAATCTTACCTTATTTGGCAGTATGCTAGGAATGGTTTTTGTCAATTTTCTCGACTTTTAAAGCTTAAAATCGTCTGAAACTTGCAGACATTATAGCGAAAACACTTCTAAACAAGGCGCCATTTTGTTTGTTTCCATATATTGCATGGATTCGCTAAAGGAAGCCCAAAACTAAAAAGCATAGGGAACCCGCACGAATGAATACAATTCTTTGATATGCATCAGTATAGAAATGAAATGACATCTTATGCGATCACAGACACAGACATGATTAAGTCAATATTAGTACGAAACTAAATTCTCATAAACATACTCTTTATAATATTTGCTCGCATGTCAACAAAACTGTTGTAACTCACATTCCTTAGAACAGAGCATCTACCTTTGAAATAGCAGTACTAGATAATCATTTTCAGCTTCTATAGTGCTATTGGAGCTCCGCTATTAGGTGTTACCTAATTTTTATATTAGATGAAGAAAGATTTGAACACCCCCACTCGGCTTGTAATTTAGCTCAAATCACTAGSGTTATTCCGACTTAATTTGTCTTTTATGTGGTGGTGAACCGCAATGAAAACTCGTAATCAAAATCACAACTTCGCAATATATATTGGACTTGGGTGTTTCTTGYAATCACTGATTCTTTGTTGGATTGGCGMGCGCTAATTCAGCCTTCTTATCGCGATCRCGGAAAAGTCAATTCTAATATTCCCGGGGGTTAATAAATGCGGAATTTCTTTTTGGACGTCATATCGTCAATAGCGTTGAGATTTATGTTTTCATTTAATAATTGCGACAAAAAAATGATTGAATTGACTTCAGACTTTGTCCTGGCCCGAGTGCCTGGCCCAGGTCAATCTTCGAACTTATATATTATATATTTTAATTTATTTTCTCAAGTTTCCATTGTCATTTAAACGTGCGAAAGTCATCGCTTTTAATTAAATTGCGCGTGCGTTATATAGGAGTGATACTTTGATCGCGTGTGTAGAAAATTATAATATAACTTGAATAATTTCACATTCTTAGTAAATGTATAGGTTTGATAGTATGTCACCTTGTGTTGAAAGAAATAACACAGTTTCATCTTGAAAAATAATTTTGAAAAATTTGTAATTGGCTCTAAATATTTTGCCTTGGTAGCTTTTAAAAGCTTGAAAATGGAGAAATTTGAACAAGTTCGAGGTTATTATAGCTTCCTGTAGAGAATGCATAAAAATGATCCGAAACTGAGTTAATATTGCAGTAAAAATCCCAGAAAAGAGTCATTATTTCCAGTGTTTTGTTCCTTATATTTTGCCWTTTTTTGCCTATTTTTCATCATTTCTCTTTGCTTCATGGATATAATTCCGAATTCTCTACTCTTGTCGTTTCACACATTTCCCGGATTTGAAAAAATCTCATGCTAAATAAGAAAACATTCGAGATCATTAAACACTATTTTCATTTTATTTTTACTTCTTCTTTTATAATGCTTATCTCTTAGAACTAAAAGTGGTTTGTCCCTTCCATTATCAGGCTTCATTATTACTCTTCTCTTTTGAATTGAACGATTACACTTTATTAAAATAATAAACCTTTATTAATGACGGCGCCATCTTGAATTTCATCGTTTGTGTGAACATTAGCAACATTAGCGGGAATTTTACGGACTCTATAAAGCCTCATGTTTTGGAGAAATAATAGCTACACTAATCAACGTTTATACAAGTCAAGATTATCAAGAGRAAAGATATTATTTCATTCATATTTAATATTGTACTTTGCTAAAGATCTTCGGACATTACTGACATCAAGATGGCGGCCGTATTGTGACTGCACGCGATTTCAAATTTTGTTGGTTTTCCAATAACAGATCCAATGGGGTGTCCATTAGTCAACTGTGGGATCTGAACAGTCTTATAATATTATAGATATATAAAAGATTGTTTCGCTGATTTCAACACATCCTGAAGTCAGTCAGTCCATTGCGGCAAATGAGGTGCATGTAAGGACGTAGCTTTCCCTACCATCGGCAGTGCGAGATGTGGCGTATGAAAGCTTAAACCTGACAATTCAATTCAATTCAATTCAACAGACTGCAAATAGTTTAACTAATCGAGGCAGTCTGTATAGATACTTAATAAATAAATTGACAATAACTATGTTTATGTAGATACAATAGAACGATTTCGTATAACCCTATTTTTAAATGAAAATGATTTTGTTTATATGCTAATAAGCATATCGAATGAAAACAATAGAATCTATCAGCCATAACAACAATCACATGCAATTTTTGTTGTAGTAAAAACGCAGGAAAACCATGCAACTTTACGCCTAGTGTGTGCCTGACTCAAAAACTCTATTAATATAAATCGGTTGCAGTTTTATGTTTGTCATGCATCTTCTATTACTAGGGCTATATTTTAGAACACCTGAACTTGACAATTGCATCCTAAACATAAATAAAAAATTGCTGAAGAATTCCGCCTCTTACAG